AAAAAAAAAAAAAAAAAAAAGGAAAAAAAAAGAAAGCTCCCATAGAATATCGAGATCAAAGGTGTCGTTAGGCAGCCACTTTAAAATGTTATCTAAATTGTAAGGAGGCCATATTTTGAACAAAGATGGGCAAGTGTGGGAATCTGTAAGTAGGGCATTAAGGCCTGGAGTTTCAGGGCCTCTAAAAGGCATCCCAGGGGGAGGCTGGATTGATGGTCTTGGATGGCTTGCTACCTACCCATAGCTGAAACCATGAAAACCTGCAAAAAAAAAAAAAAAAAAAAAAAAGAAGAAGAAGAAGAAGTCTCCCCTCTATATGTGGGGTGTAAAATGGTGGCGAACACTACAGGGCTTGTAGGAGAGCATCCTCTACCCACAGGGTGGGGTGTTAAAGCCTGACTGGTTTTGTTCGGGGGGTGACTCAGAAGCCAGAGAGGCCACAGCAGGGACCACTGATGACTGGTCAGAAAGAAAAATCTGAGGAATCCTGTGCCCCCAGTCGTGGAAGGGCTGACCCCGGGTTGTCCAATCATGATTTCAGCTAACGGAAGCAATCCAGAGATGAATGTCAGTGAAGGGCTCAACCATAGCTATGAAGGTCATGGCTGGGGGCTGTCCCCCTACACCCATATATAGAAACACCAAAATATTGCCGGGACCTCAATGGTTAATTCCTTGGGTTCAGAGAAACAGTTAAACTGACCAGAATGGGGAAGCTCACCAATTTAAGCTGGTATTGTATGTAGAAATCGCACTCAGGCAGATGGAACCCGTGGTTGTTATGAAAAAATACCCAGTTTCGGATCCCAACTCTGAGAGAGGGGCAGGAGAGCCTCCCGAGTCTCAGCACCAATGAAATTACCTGGCGCGAGTGAGAAGGAAACACAAAACACACAACAAACCTGCTTAGGAGTTTATGGGGGTGGTGGCAGGCCTGGTGAAGGTCAGTGTGCAGAGAGAGAGAGAGAGAGAGAGAGAGAGAGAGAGAGAGAGAGAGAGAGAGAGCGCTGAAGATGGTGTGGCCAGCTTTTAAGGGCTGCCTAGTGCATGTGCACAAGGGGATAGTGTGTCTGAATCATATGCAAATGACGGAGCTCACGCATGCATGCAAGGGTTCATGCAGCTGCATCATACATAGATGTTGCACACATGCGTGGCCCTGGCACCCGGAAGTGTCAGCCATGTTGTGTGGCTGAATCATTACACTAATTCTTTTGGATAGTAGAACAACAGGTGACTTAAATACATTGCTTTAAATTTCATTATTCTACAATGAGCTCTTTATATGGCTATACAATTAAAAACAATACCTTTTATAAAAATGTAACTCTGTTTTTGTCCAGTATTTCCTACTTCATTTCTTCCCTCCCTATTTTCCTCCAGAGTTTCTATGAACTAACTTTGGATTTGGGGTTGTTTTTGTTTTGTTTTGTTTCTTTAGCGATTTGCCTGCTTCCGTGTTCCTTGCCTAAGTGTACTTCAGATAACAGCAGATAACCACCAGGATGGGAGTGAATGACTTGTGGCAAATTTTGGAGCCTGTAAAGCAACATATCCACTTGCAGGATCTTAGTGGGAAAACCATTGCTGTCGATTTGAGTCTGTGGGTATGCGAGGCACAGACAGTGAAGAAAATGGTTGGCACTGTCGTGAAGCCCCATCTCAGGTATGGTAAAGGTTCTAAGAACATAGATGCGTGATTGTGTAGCCAGTCTTGGTGTCCTGGCTTTGTTTCAACTTTTTTTTTTTTTTGTCTTATATTTGAGATTTTAAAATAGAGTTAGCCTATCTGCCATTTTAAATATATATCTCCTACTCCAGGCTTCAGCTCACGTATCTACCATCACTAGCATGCTTCATTTACTGAAAGCCCAGCACTGAAAGGCCATTATCTCCCTCCTTTATCTTTCATCTCCAGTCCATCAGTAATTCTTGCCCATTCAGCTTCCAAAATACCTATGCGTTCACAAATTTCTCTTGCTGTCAAGAGACACATCAGCCTCATGTCTTACCCAAATCTGCTGCTGGGATGGCATTTCCACCTCCTGTTCTTAGCCCCGCCCTCCAAACCAGCTGGTAATCTGTTTAGTCAGAAATCGGCCTTGCTAAAAACCGTCAACTACTTGTCCATTGTCCTTAAAACACGACCTTAATAAATAAAATACGGGCCACTGAGCTAGTTAATGAGATAAATACACACGCCACCAGTCCTGACAACCTGACTGTGATCCTTAGAACCCACATGGTAGAACAGTAGAACTACTTCCTGCAAGTTGTCCTTTGATGTTCATGCAAGAACAGCGGCATGCACGAGCCTACACAAATACACCATTCACCCTCGCGCATGCGCGCGCGCATGCGCGCGCGCGCGCACACACACACAAATAAACATTTAAAATGTGTTATTGCATCTGACATTTTTTGTATTCGCCCTTAAACCTTTTTTCATACTGCTATTTGGACTTGTCATCAATATGATGATTAATACATCATTTGTATATTTCAGGAACCTATTTTTTCGTATCTCGTATTTAATCCAAATGAATGTGAAACTGGTGTTTGTAATGGAAGGGGAGCCACCAAAGCTGAAAGCTGATGTCATGAGCAAGAGGACTCAGACTCGCTATGGGCCTTCTGGAAAAGCAGGCTCTCAGAAAACAGGGAGATCACATTTTAAGTCAGTCTTACAAGAGGTGAGCATTTGGATTCAGCTAGTAATTCTTATTTGAATTAAGGAATACATTTTATAAATGTACTTATTAACTATATTGTGACCACAGGAGCAGAGATTTTATGATAGAGTGAAACAGACCTGAGACCAAGTTCTAGCACCAGCGTTTAGAAATTAGGAGATAACTGGGTAGGATTTCTAACTTATTTACACTTTAATTCTTAGTGAAGTGGGGATAGTGATGCTCTGCAGTACTTTTATGAATGCTGAGTAAATGCTACAGTCCATAACCCATGGCAGGACCTTAACTGTCCTCCCTTCTAACTCCAGCAGCTTCAGAATGCTTGAGAGCCTAAGTCGTTTGCTTCTTTGATAAAGGTTAAGGGCACCACGAGTTTATGAGAATGACATAATCCTTGGGAGGCAGTGTGATAATATGTCCATTTAACTAAGCAGCGGTGGTAGGTTCTGTGCCAACGACCTCTCCAGCTATGAGCCTCTACCAGGACTACAGTACCAGAAACTTCTAATAAAGGGCCTCAGAGTCATCAGAAATCAATTGTCTCCTCAACAGTCACGATACTGTTGTACAAGTGAGTACCTCTTGTCTAGCAGGTTGGTATTGTAGCATGCAGTCTAAGGAAGACTGAAGTGTATTTTTCTTCCCCCAGATATATTCATAGCACCTTCTGGCACTTTGAAGGCTACCCATCAGGATTTAAAGGATTTCTCTTGTTACAGGTTCTTGCTATATAGAACAGGCTGTCCTTGAACTGGCTATGTAGCTTAGAGCAGTCCTAAATCATGATCTTTGCTGGCCCTTCCTCATCAAATTAAAATATAATTACATCACTTTCTCCCTCCAAGCCCCCCCCCCCTCTTTCTCTCTCTCTCTCTCGTGGGAGTGGCGGGCTGCGTCCTGCCACCCGGCTAGCTTTACACCCAAAATAATTACACGGAAACTGTATTCTTTTAAACATTGCTTGGCCCATTAATTCTAGCCTCTTACTGGCTAGCTCTCACATCTCGATTAACCCATTTTTAATAATCTGTGTAGCACCACGAGATGGTGTCTTACCAGGAAGGATTCTAGCCTACATCCGTCTGGGGTCAGAGAATCATGGTGTCTGACTGACTCGGCTTTCTTTCTCCCAGCATTCTGTTCTGTCTGCTCCGCCTACCTAATTTTCTGTCCTATTAAAGGGCCAAGGCAGTCTCTTTATTTAACCAATGAAATTAACACAAAACAGAAGACTCTCCCCCATCATCTCTCTTTCTCTCTCTCCTTCCATATACCCTACTCAAAATTTATAGCCTCTTTTTCGTGTGTGTGTGTGGTTTTAGGGGTGACTACTTTGTATGAGATTGCCAGTTAGAGAACTCGTCTCTGGAAAAAACTAGTTCTCCCTCTCTCAACAGTTATTAACTGCCTGTGGCTCTTTGTCTAGGTGTGGGACCCCATGAGATTTCCCTCCTTTTAAGTTAGCATGTCTTTTGATATTTCAATGTTCCAATCTTGTTTATGCCACCATTTCTAGAAGAGACTACTTCACAGCCAGCTTCCTGGTATATTTTTAAGAAGTTATTGGAGTGTTCAAATAATTTTTATTGTTGGCCTTTCACTTAATGCATCATAGACATAGTTCCCTATTGTTGATTTTTTTATTCAAAATTATAACTTAAAGTGTTTCTATACCATGTATGGGGCTATAAATTATTCTTATAAGTGTATATCCTTTGTATTTTAACTTCTCCATTATTCATGAAATTATGAAATTTTTCATGTGTAATTATTTTCTTACCATTGAAGATTTAAAATAAAATTATTCAGAAATAGAATTGACAAATTGATGCTCTAGAATTTTTTTTAAGTTCTTGGAAACACTTTCCTACCAACACAGGTGTAAAAGCAATTTTGATGTTCATGATAGAATATAATATAATTCAATCATGGTTAATCCCAGTACTTGGGAGACAGGTGGATATCTATATGTGATTCTTGATTTTCTGATCTTAGTGTTTTAAATAATTTCCAGTTACTGAGTAGTCATACTTAATGACAGTAGTTGAAGTAAACACCTGTGCTGGGGTATAACAATTTGCTGTAAAATTATTCCTGGAAGTATCTGTGAATCATCCTTAGAACACGGAATATGCTGTATCTTTATCTATGTCTCCTTCAGGGAATTGCTCCATTCCTACTGTTGTATTTCAATCCTTATGGTGCCCTTAGGCATTTTGTATATATTTAGTATTGCTTACCTATGACCCATTTTCATATTTCTGCACTCCCAGGAGGTTGAAAAATACAAATTAATCATCCTTTAACACCAAACCAATCCTATAGAATAAGTAGAGGAAAATTGCAACCAGCCATATCATAACCTGTGTGCGACTGCTTTGGAAGGAGTTATGAATATAAATGGCACACAAAGCTGAAATTACTTTGCTTAGCATGGAAAGGTAATCCCTCAAGAGAAGACATGTTTGTTGCAAAATGTTTCCCCAGAGTCACTGCGCCAGTCTTGAGACTGTTGGCCTTGGGCTACATCTGGCAGCTTTTTGTGTTATGTGTCATACAAAAAGTTAAACATCATGAGCAACAGATGTTAATTCTGTCACTGTAGAAAGTACATTGTATAGCCTCTTTTCTCTATACTCAGCGTTCCTCAATTCGGAAAGAACAATAAATGGCAAGGAAAGTGAGCTACTATAGTTCATATGGCTATACCACAGGCTGCAGCAAGATCAAAGCCATAACCCAAAGAAAACTCAGAATGGATTGTTTATGCATCATGAAAGGATAAAATCACCTTGCACAGGATCTGAGTTCCTAGGAAAAACCAACAACTTATCCTTGTGAGAGTCTTCATACTGTTGCCTGACACTATCCCTTGGGAAATGCCACCAGGTAGGGGACTGATGCCAGACTAAGGATACCACCAGAATCCAACTTGGTGAAAAATGAATGTTATTGAGGATACTTACAGGTATACGGGTATGAGGTCACTTAGAGTAGCGGGAACAGCTGCATCACCAAAAGTCCATCCCACATAGGCCACAGCTCGTAAAAGCTGGAAACCTGGAGTGCACTGCACAACCTGCTACAGTTCAGGGAGTTGGGGAGTCTGTTCCAGGTGGCTGAGTTTCTCCGAGTATCTGAGGCGGTTCAGCAGGGTCTTCTTTTTCTAGGTAACTTGGCTAAACTCTCTTCTAGGCAGCCCAGCTCTGTGTCTCTGTCTCTCTCTGTCTCTCTCTCTCTGTCTCTCTCTCTCTGTCTCTGTCTCTCTCTCTCTCTCTCTGTCTCTCTCTCTCTCTCTCTCTCTCTCTTTTAGGTAGCCTGACTGATCTAACAAGGTTTCTCAATAGTCCCTGCAGCTTAGATATACTAGGGAAGGGAGGATCCTAGTGTCAGTAGTCAGGTCAGGGGCTTTCTGAGTCCTTAGAGTTATTTCCTGATCTGAGCATTTTAAGCATTCCTGCAAGATGGAATGTTTTCACTCCCTCTTAGAACATACTGTGTAAATCCCAAGCATAATGCTGCAGAATTCTCAATATTTCAGTGTTGCTTTCTACAAGATGACACTTTAAAAATTAAACAGGCATAACCAAATAGTTATTTTAATTATCTCACGTAAAAGGTTAGCAGCCCTTTCTTAATGCTATCAAATTATTCAGTGTCCAAATTTCCAAGTGTTTCTTGAATAACACAATTTGTAAATGCCCTAAAGATAACTACTAATACTTTTAATGTAGAAATAATTTAATAGTGAAAAGTTGGATGTCGTGTACCTCCTCTTTGTTCCAGTGCCTTGAGATGCTACAGTACCTGGGAATCCCCTGGGTCCAGGCTGCCGGGGAAGCCGAGGCCATGTGCGCTTACCTTAATGCCAGTGGCCATGTGGATGGCTGCCTCACCAATGACGGCGATGCTTTCCTTTATGGAGCCCAGACTGTTTACAGGAATTTCACTATGAACACAAAGGTACAGTTCATTTCTGAAGAGTGACAGTGAGATACTATGTATAAAATCCTTCCATGATGTGTGGCAAATGGTTATTGCTGAATAAAATGCTTACTAATTAAAAATATCATTGTTATACATATAAATAAGCTAGAAAACATTTTGAAAGTTTTCACCATAAATGTGTGTTGTTTAGATTTAAATTTTTTTTAATGATTTGTGTGTATGAGGTAGAGAGTATGTGCATTTATGAGTGCAGGCATTGAATCTTCCTGAAGCTGGAGGTACAGACACAGTGAGCTATCTGACATGTGTGATTGAAAGGAAACGCGAATGCTTTTCAAGAGTAGTGTGAGTGGTCACTAGCCATCCCTCCAACCCTGTAAATAACGATTTTGAAATGATGGAGATTATAAAGCTGATCATCAATAAAAAGTAAATTAATAAAGCAATTTTTTTTATTTTTTAATATAATTTTTTATTAAAAAAAAAAAGAAAATTTCCACCTCCTCCCCGCCTCCCATTTCCCTCCCTGTCTCCCTTTTCCCTCCCCCTCCTCCCTCTCCTCTCTCCCTCCCC